TACAATGCCCCCCACCACCACCACACACACATGAGCTCAAAGAGGAGGACCCCATTCCATATCTTGGATTGCAAAATCTTTTCTCCTCTATTAACTCATTGATCCCCTTGATTCCACCATGAAATAGAGGTTATGACCTCTACTTTACCATTAGGAAAACTGAAGTTCAAAAGCACAGTATACTGGCTAGAGCATGTGAACCTCAAATTGCAGAACTTGGGTTGGAGTCTAAGCTGAGCTACTCACTAAGCAACTTGCCAAGGTCCCAAGGCTTTGGTTTCACCATCAGCATGATAGAGATTTGACAAGATGCCTCCTAGGGCCCCTGCTCTGAGGCCAATGACTGAGATTCCAGGTTGTGTGCCTTGTCACCAAGAGTCTCCAAGTAAAGAGGAAGTCCCAGGCCTCAGAGTCTAATCAGAAGGGTTTTCCACTTATTTGGTTTGGTCCAGTTGTTTACTGATTATGAACTGGAAGCCAGATGAGCAAACGCCACAGGAGGCAAAATAAGCACCAAGGTTTCCACTGAGGAGGAAAAAGGCTGTGGGGGTTCAGGAAGTGCTTCATGAAGGGGCAGCACCTGAGCTGTCCTTGCAGGATGGCCAGGAGTTTACACAGGATGACAAAGGGCATTCCAGGAGCAGACAACACAAGCCAAGGTACGGAGATGAGAAGGGAGGCTTCATCAGAACCCAGGCTGGGATGTGCCCAGCTCAGGAACCAAAGACTGCGATGAGCAAGAAGGGTGCTGTCCACTGCTGCTGCTGCCACCACACAACTCCTGGATTCTCAGAGTCAAAGGTAGAGAAGGAAAACCATTTCATACCCACTAGGAGGAGCTCTGGTGGCAGAGTGCCTAAGGCATCTGACTGCTAACCAGAAGGCTGGTGGTTCAAACCCACTAGCCATTGCTCTGCAGAAGGAAGATGGGGCAATCTACTACCATAAAGATTTACCACCTTGGAAACCCAAAGGGGGTTGCTATGAGTCGGAATTGACACAATGGCAGTGGGTTTAGTTTGGGTTTGGGTTTAGGAGGAGCTCCAGTGGTGTAGTGGTTAAGGCATTTGGCTGCTAACCAAAAGGTCGGTTATTTGAACCTACCAGCTACTCCGTGGAAGAAAGATGAGGCAGTCTGTGTTTGTAAACGTTTACAGCCTTGGAAACCCAACAGGGGGTCACTTTGAGTCAGAAACAACTTGATGGCAATGAGGTTGTTTTTTTTTTGAGAGGATAGGTTTTATAGGAAAGAACTGGAAAATAACAAATGCTGGGGAGCAAATGGTTAAAGTGGAACCCTCATGCATGGTTGCTGGGAATGTAAAAAGGTACAGGCACTGTGGCAAAGTATGGTGGTTTCTTGAATTGTTAAACATACCCGTTGCCACTGAGTCGATTCCAACTCACAGTGACACTAGAGGACAGAGTGTAACTGTCCCACAGGGTTTCCAAGGCTATAAATCTTTACAGCAGAATGTGACATCTTTCTCCCACAGAACAGCTGATGGATTTGAACTGTTGACCTTACAGTTCACAGCTGAGCATTTAAACACTGCAGTACCAAGACTCCTTTTGTCAAACACCACTAAAAAAAAAAAAAAGCCTGTTCCCACCAAGTCACTTCTGACTGAGGAAGACCCCTGTGTTACAAAAGAGAACTGATCTCTGTGGGGTCTCCTCGGCTGAAACTTCACAGGCATAAATCACCAGGCTTTGCCTCTGCAGTGCTGGTGGGCAGGTTCAAACCGCCAACCTATTGGGTTAACGGTCAAGTGGAAACCATTTCTACCACCTAAGGGCCTCCAGAACTACCTTTATTGTTACCATATGACCCAGCAATCCCACTCCCAGGTAAATATGCAGAACTGAAAGCAGAGACTCAAACAGATACCAGGGTCCCAACGTCCACGCAGCATCACGGAATAGATACCAGGATCCCAACGTCCACGCAGCATCATGGAATAGCCAAAAAGTGGAAACAACTCAAGTGTCCATCAACTAATGAGTGGATAAACAAAATACAGCACATACCAAAATGGAATGTTATTCAGCCATAAAACAGAATGCACGCTACAACACGAACAAACCTTGAAAACATTATGCTAAGTGAAACAAGCCAGATACAAAAGGTATCAATAATGTCTGATCCCACAGAGACAGCAGAGTAGAGGTTACCAGCGGGTAGGGTGAAGGGTGAAAGGGGAAGTTATCACTTAAAGGGTACAGAGTTTCTGTTTGGAGTAATGAACACATTTGGAAATAGACGTGTTGGTTGCACAACATTGTGAATGCAATTAATGCTGAATTGTACACTTAAAACTGGTTAAAATGGCAAAAAATATGTTATATATTTATAACAAAGCTGGATGAGGACCCTGCGCCTGCTTCTGTGGGGGAAACCAGCACCTCCTGTTCAAAGAGCTGGATGTGGAAGGTTCTGGAGCCTGCGAGCCACAGAATCTGCAGGTGTGAAGCCTGGGAAGGCCGCCGGATCCTGCTGTGACCATCCCTCCTGCCACACAGTGACTGGGCACTGGCTCACGGGATGCCTGCCAGCCAAGTCAGTGGAGGCTCACAGGAAAGACTTATGTCACACTGTCATACCCTCGGCTTTCTGGGAACCGAGCAGCTGAAGAAGAGTCCCCTAGGGATGAGGGTATGCACCAAGTGCACCTTTCTACCCCACACACATACACTCCCACCTTGAGGTGCAGAATCACTGAACGTTAGACCTGGAAAAGCTCTTAGAGAACAGGTCCAAGCACCCCATTGTAACAGATGAGGAAGCTGAGGCCCAGCTGAAGCCCTACCAAATTACGCCTGAGACAGAGCCAGGAATGAACTCCAGGTCTGCCTCCCAGCCCACGGCCACAGATATTCTGAAGCCAAAAAGATCTTGCGCTTTAAGTCATCAGGGTGAAAGCTGAATGGAGATGTTTCTGGGAAGAGGGCTGAAATGGGTCAGACGGCGGCGACAGCTGGAGGATGCTGGGGACAGAGGGGAACTCCGAGTCTGCCCTCAGGAAGCAACAGGAACTGGAGCTCTGTCAAAGCAGGTTCAGAGAATGAACACAGAGAAGCAGGCCTGCTCCCTCCTTCTAAGACATGAAAGTGAAAGGATGGGCAAGTAAGAGAGAAACTCTGAGATGGAGAAAACTAAAAGGGGTTCAGCTTACTGACCATGATCTTCCCACTGGGGAATGAGGCCGACTGCTGGAGCAGCATCGGGATATGGGCTACTCTGGAGTCAGGTAAGGGCCAACAGGGCCTAAAGAGCAGCTCCGGGGCTTGGACTTTGCTGAGCCTGTGATCTGTGCTGGTGCCGGAAGGCACAGCCCCTGACTTTTTTTTTTTTTTTGCCAGTGCTTGGCAGCCTGGGGGAATCAGCAGAAGAAACAGATGGGCTTGTATTGAGGGGAGGGCAGGGAAAGTCACAGGGGCAGGACAGTCAAAGGGCAAGTGAGGACACAGGTGAGATGGCAGGAAGGCAAGGCCAGGAGGAGAATGAGGCGGGAGGGGCCAGTGGAGGGCCAGAACCAGACGCAGAGATACAATCAAGGGAAGTACTCATTGGGATGGGGAACGACAGAATTCTGGATCTTGCAGTGATGGTAGGGACAGAGCTCCAAGTGTCTCCAAGTGAGACTGGCTCAAACGAAGCTCTCAAAGATGAAGCCATGTCTGCAATACTGAGAGGAGTCAGCAACTTGAATTCCAAGGTTGCCCAGGGGATAACAAACACTGAGCCGTCAGAGGCCTTGAGAGACATGAAGGACAGATGTGAGGTCAGAGGGCTGGGCACCAGGTGGCCCAACTTCAGAGGAAACAGAGCTAGAGGAGGAGGCAAAAGGGAAAGGCCTGTGTGTCCAGGGCCCCCAGAGTCCTAGGAGAAGCTCCAGCTGAGAGACAGAGATGCAATCAAGATCTCCATCCAAGGAGGCAGCAGGGGTCATGGCAACAGTTGGGGGTGGGTAAAGGAATCTGCTGTTAACACATAGGGAATCCTGAGGATGCAGAGGCAGTTGGTTATGTAAGGGGGGGACAGAGACACCTGGTTCCGGGGCTCCAGGGGAGGTGCGTCCACCCAGGAGGCCCTGCAGCCAAAAGCACTGAAGTTTGGATTCTACTCTATCTCTAAGAACTTCAGCATCTCACTCCCATTCTCCAGCAGACCCAATTTCCACATGCCAACTCTGAGCATCTTCAGTTTACAAGTGTCACAGTGTACCCAGGCAGTACCAAGGGTGTGTCTTTCAGGAAGAAAGGCTGTACCATTTATGAGGCTCTGGGTCTCTAGTTCAAATGCCCCTTTATCGGGGAGCCAGGCCTTCAGCACACTAATTCAACAGCACCTCCCCATGTCCACCCTCTACAGTCTATTCCCTTCCTCTGGTTTATTTTTAACACATACCACAGCTGTCACATAAGTATCTGTGTCTGCTCACAGTCCTTGTCACCTCACTAGAATGGAAGCTCCGTGAGAGCATGTGTTTGCCTTGTCTGTTCACTCTCTTATTTACAGAGCTTAGAACCAGGCCAGCGCATTACTGGGCCCTCGAAGAGTATTTTTGGGTTGTTGTATCTACTCCCCACATCAAGCAAAACTCCACGAGAAGATGGTGGTGGTACAGCCTGTGCTGATTAAAAATAAACATGGTACCATTCAAACAATTTCTCTAATGAGATTTTTCTTCTTTCTACCTCTTTTACAAATGTGCCGAGAACGCATCCCCATGCTTGGAAGCACTTCCCTAAGGCATCCCATGGGCCACAGAAATGCTCCTTTCGTTCTTCACTATTGGCACCTGGCCAGGAGGGGTGTAGCCTCCAAGCACTGTGGACGGACTGCCAACGGGCACCATCCCCATCATCCCAAATCTCATTACTGAGCAATATCACAGTTTTACTCCTATTTTAATCTACCAATTTCTAGCAACTGCAGCTCTGCAATTAGCATGAAAAGCCAATCTGTGCCTACAATGAATCAAAGCAATACATACTGCGACCTGGGCCGAGTCAAGGAACTGGAGGCCAAAGTAATCTGTTTCCACGAGGTCCAAGTGGTACACGATCTGATCAAACAAATCCTGGCCCTTGGCATGTTTCTGGAAGACAAATGGGGACATAAACATTTAGCATGAGACAGCTGGATAAGAAAGCAGATTTTAAAAAGCCAAAAGCACTTGTCTCTGTGTGTTACATACACATAACCTGTCACAGTACAGAATTCTAAAGTCAATCGTTTCATGATCAATGCAATACAAACTCACAATTAAAGACATTCAAATGCCATATAATAGTTTAAAGTAAAAAACCACCATTAACACTTTCTAGTCTTTCCTCTCAAAAGAATGCTTCTTAGGTAAATGCCTACACGAGATGGTCGGGAAGCTTTGCAAAAACCAGACACTCTTGAGGAAAGGGGTGATGGGTCCGACTCCAACAGTGAAACACGGACAGCTCCCGCTGAACTTTGCTGTCAATGCAGGCATCCTTACAGAATCAGCTCCTCCTTTGGGACTGGCTCTCTCAGCCCCCCGATTTCACAGAATGGTAAGCAGGATGCAGAAAAGCTAAGAGACCTGCTGCAGTAGCAGGTGACAGACCCAGGTTCTAACACCCAAGTTCCACGTCCATTTCAGGGCTCCAACAGACTGTGTGGTGGACACAAAAGGGTGTGAGCATAAGAAAAGAGAGACAAGGCTCAGGTCCTGGATCTGCCACTTAATAGCAGTGTGACCCTGGGCAAGTCACCTCTCCTCTCTCGGCTTCTGCTCTCCTCATCTCTCCAAGGATCAAATGAGAAGCCACTGCAAGTCTTTGAGAAACCAAAGGGCTCATTAACATTCACCCAAGCGGGGCACAGGCCTGGCTCAATGATAGAAAATATACAATGGCGATGGGTCCAGAAGCACTAAGGTTTAAACACAGGCCTTCATGACGATAAACAAAAACAAAACCCAGCTTCATAGGATGATTAGCGAACTGACTTATGAAAATTGGCAAATAAAGGGAAAGAATCAAGCATTTAACCTTTCTTTAGCTGGAGCACTAGGTAACCAAATTGTAGACAGCACCACATACAAAAATTTTAACTCAAAATTGATCACGGACCTAAATTGAAGAGTTGAAAGTACAAAAGTCTTAAAACAGACGTTGATCTCCATGACTCTGGATTTAGCAACAATTTCTCAGTCAAGACACCAAAAGCATAAGCAATGAAAGGAAAAACAGATCAATAGACATCATCAAAATGTAAAACTCTTGTACTTAAGGGATGTCAAGGTATCAAGAAAGTGAAAAGACAACCCAGAGAATCGGAGAAACTTTTTGCAAATCACACATATGAGAAGAGACTCATATCTAGAATATACAAAGAACTATTACAACTCAAAATTTTTTAAAAAAAGGCTTTTAAAAATGGGCAAAGGTTCTGAACAAACATTTCTCCAAAGAAGATAAACTGCCACTAAGCACAGGAGAAGCGCTCAACACCATCAGGGAAATGCAAGTCAAAACCACAACGCAAGCCCACTTGACACCCACTAGGATGGCTACAGCAAGAAGGCAGTTCATCACGAGTGTTGGTGAGGATGTGGAGAAACTGGAACGCTCATCATTGTTGGTGAGAATGGAAAACAGGGCAGTGCTTTGAAAAACACACTGGTAGTTCCTCAAACCATTAAACACAGTTATTCACAGGGCTAACATGTGATCCAGCAACTCCACTCCTAGGTATACAGCCAAGAGAAATGAAAACACACGTCCACAAATGTTCACAGCAGCACTGCTCCTAATAGCCAAAAGGTGGAAACAACACAGATATCCATCAGCTGTGAAATGGATAAACAAAATGTAGTATTTCCATACAATGGACTATTATTCAGCAATAAAAAGGACTGAAGTACTGCCTGCTACAACATGGATCAACCCTGAAAACATTATGAAGTGAAAGAAACCTACCACGCGGAGCACATACTACAAGGCTCTGCTGACAGGAAATGTCCCAAATGGGCAATCTACAGAAGAGAGTGGACGAGCAGCTGCTGGGGGCTGGGAGGGAACGGAGGGTTAAGGGCAAGCAGGGTTCCTTTCTGGGGTGTAAAAACGTTCTAAATTTGATTGTGGTGATGGTTATACAACTCTGAACATACTAAAAGTCATTGACTATACATTTTTAATAGGTAAATTGTATGCTACATAAATTATATCTCAGTGAAACTTAAAAAAACAGATTAGTTTTTATTTATAGAAGTATTTCAACAAATGAAGAAGAAATAAAATTGCAACCTCGACGGCACATAACAACAACAACAAGTGATTGGAAAAAGGGCCCTGGTGGTCCAGTGGTTAAGTGCTCGGTTGCTAACCACAAAAGGTCAGCAGTTCAAACCCACTTGCTGCTCCATGGGAGAAACACGTGGCAGGTTGCTCCTCTAAAGATTATGGCCTTGGAAACCCTATTGGGCAGTTCTACTGTGTCCTATAAGGCACGCTGGTGGCGCAGTGCCTAAGGCATATGACTGCTAACTAGAAGGGTGGCAGGTCAAATCCACCAGCTGCTCCACGGAAGGAAGATGGGGCAATCTACTTCTGTAAAGATTTACTGCCTTGAAAACCCAATGCAGGTCGCTATGAGTTGGTATTGACTTGATGGCAGTAGGTTTGGTTTTTTACTCTGTCCTATAGAGTTGCTCCGAGTCGAAATTGACTTAATGGTCAGTGAATGAAAAAGAATTCGTGATGGTGCAAGATGGTGCAAAATGGTGCAAAGAGGTAAGCACTCAGCTCCAAAACCAAAAGACTGGTGGTTTGAGGCTACCCAGAGGTGCCTCGGAATTAAGGCCTGGCAATCTATTTCCAAAAAATCAGCCACTGGAAACCCTACGGAGCACAGCTCTACTCTGACACACAGGGGGTCGCCGTGAGTCAGAGCTGAGTTAGCTGGTGACTGGCTTTTTGGTTCGTGAAAGGAAAGCTCTAAGCATTGAGCACCCGAGGTCATGAACATCACAGAGACAACCAGCCATTATATGCCTCACCACCTCTGGCACAATCTCGCTCGTCAACCATAATCCCCTCTTGCCCAAAAGAAATCAAGCCTAGGATGGACTCAACCTCTAGATCCAGCTGCCAATCTGCAGGAAATGCACGAAGATCTTACTAAACTACATGGGAATGCAATCAGTAAGATCCTGCCTATGGGAAATCTAGAAACTTCTCAGGACAAATGATTCAGCTTATTCAACAAAAGAATAAAGAATTCAGGGAAGAGAAGCAGTGGGGGCGGGGAATACAGATTAAAGGAGATTTAAAAGACATTTTTTGAAAAACAGGCAAAACTGAAGTCCAGGGTCTAGGGATGATGCACAGCTGGATGAGGGGAGATGGACAGCAACAGTCAGGGTCGTTGCTGGTCTCGGGGGGAGAGGCGCTGTGACTGCTGTGGGGCCTCAGACTGCTTCTGGGCTGCTGGGCAAGACTAGCTCCTGATGTAAGTAGTGGGTACCAGGGTGTCTGGCTTCCAGTGATTCATCAAACTATGCACTGCTTTATTTGTATATCTGATTGGTATTAAAGTAAACCCACTGGCATCAAATTGATTCTGACTCACAGCAACTCTTTAGGACAGAGTAGAACTGCGCCCCATATGGTTTCCAAGGCTGTAAATCTTTACAGAAGCAGACTGCCTCATCTTTC